ATATATATATATATGTATGTCTCTCTCTATATATATATATATATATATATACACAGTTATATGCACGTATAGAGAGAGAGAGAGAGGACCAAGGCCTGTTGATAATCTTCTGGCAGTCGCTCTCGCCCTTGGAGTCACCGAGCTCCTGTGAGCTCCAGAACTTTGGGTCTGGACTTCAGGGTTTGGGTTTGGGCTTCAGGGTTTTGGGGTTGGGGTTTAGGCTTTAGGGTTTCGGGTTTAGGGTTTGGGGGTCTTAGGGTTTAGGGTTTAGGGTTTCGCGTTTAGGTGGGGGTTTTGGTTTAGAAGTTTAGGGTTTCGGGTTTGGTTTAGGGTTTGGGGGTTTGGGGTTTGGGTTTTTTACAAAACCGGGGGCTTGTTAATTGGATTCAAAAGGGCTCTACTATAGGGTAAGAGCATGTTCTTTGTAGAGGGTTCTGAGGTCTTTATCGGGGTGGCTTCTTCCGGGTGGCTACGGGGCTCCAGCCTGGGGCCTCCGTAGTCGCAGGGTTTGGGGACATACCATTGGTACTGTTGATGATATGAATCCTGCACTACCTCAAGGACCCTAAACTATGGGAATTGTGGTGTAATTCCTTATTATGGCCCTAAACCCTAAACCCTAAACCCTAAACCCTAAACCCTAACCGTATCATTATGTCGGTACTACGACCAACTCTCCTTGGCCCCCGACTGTCGGCTTTCGGGTTTAGGGGTTCGGGTTGAGGGCTTCAGTGGTGTTGGGTTTGGGGTTCAGGGTTTAGGGTTTAGGGTTTAGGGTTTAGGGTTTGGGGTTTGGGGTTTAGGGTTTAGGGGTTTAGGGGTTTAGGGGTTTAGGGTTTAGGGGATTTTCTGCTTTGAGATGTGGCGCGTCAGTATGGCCTCAGGGCTTTAGGGCTTTAGGGGGTTAGGAAGCTGCGAGGCATCACACCTTCCATTCTTGCCAGCACGAACAGCGACAGCTGCGACACCCAAGATGATGTGGCTGGCCAGGAAGGCTTCAAGTAAAGCCCTAAACCCTAAACCCTAAACCCTAAACCCTGAACCCGCAAAAGCCTAATGATCATGAACCCCAGGACCTGATTAACAGCCTTAAAACCCGAACCCGCCTGAATCCTGACCTCTATGGTTTAGGGTTTAGGGTTTAGGGTTTAGGGGTTTAGGGTTTAGGGTTTAGGGTTTAGGGGGTTTGGGTTTAGGGTTTAGGGTTTAGGGGTTTAGGGGTTTAGGGTTTATGCCCAAGACCCTAGATCCGAAACCAACCCTCGCCCCCCTTTCGGAAGCAACACGCGTGACCGCGCGCCTTAAAGAGCCCCAGCCCCTGCTGCGCCGTGCTGAGCGACTCCTGCTCTGGCTCTGCATTTAGAGTGCGCAGGTTCCTCTTCTGATTGCTGAGTGCGGTTTAGGGTTTAGGGTTTAGGGTTTAGGGTGTTACTGTGCTTGCGATCATTAAAAGAGTGTTACTACAGTTGCTAAAGCTCTTGCCCTTATCATCATTATTGCCACCATTCCTCCTCCTCCAGCTACTCCTACTCCTAGTCCCACTACCACTACGACTGCTACTGTTTCGACGACGACGACGTCGACGACGACACGATCCAATTTGCGCTATTATTCTCGTGATTTTTGAGTCTGCCAGGCTATTAGCTTGAAAGCAGTAGCTCGTCTAGCCTACTATTCAAAACTGCTATTCCTCCAAGGGTTCAGGGGCCCGGGAACACCCCTTGGGTTCCTCTGGGCTCCGAAGGAAGTCCCACAGATCTTGAAACCCTCAAGCCTCGGGCTTGGTGCGCAAAATCCCGAAACTCTCGACACCCTCGACTCCACCAGGAAACCCCGAGACCCTTTGACGCAACCAGAACAGCCCCCGGAAAACGGCTCGGGATCCTTGTAGCGCTCCGTCTTGAGCTTCAACCCAGCCTCAGGAGTCTTCCAAAAGCTCTGCCGGAGGCTTCGAGGGCGCTTTCGGATTGCGGTTTCAAGGGGGGGCCATATGGCTGGCTTTGCCGTTGATCCCGAAACCCCAAAACCACCTAAAATTTAAAATCGCAAACCTCCCTCCATTCTCCCAGAGCCCTCCAAAAAACACCCACACCCTCAAAACCCCGTGCCAAGAACAAGCAAGCAGCCCGCGACCCTAAGCCTAAACTCACTGGGAGCCTTTGGGGGTAAGGGGGAGGGGGTCGGGGGACCATCCTTCCGCACATGGGGCCTTAGTGGTCCGTATTCTTGGATTTAAGGCCCGCTTTCCCCGCTCCCCCCCCCTAAAGGTCCCTATGATCCCAAACCCCTAAACCCTAAACCCTAAACCCTAAACCCTAAACCCTACACCCTAAACCCTAAACCCTAAACCCTAAACCCTGAAACCCAAAGCCTTGGCACTCGAAACCTTGGCGAAAACCTCGGACCGAGTCAGTGGCCAGGGTCCTGAGGATCCTCGCTTCGCCCTCCTGGGGTCTTAGGGGGGGTGGAGGCTTTTGAGGCTTTTGAGGCTTTTTAGGCTCTTGAGGCTTATTAGGGTTTTTAGGGTTTTTGATGCTTTTTAGGGTTGTTAGGGATTTTAGGGTTTGTAGGGTTTCGGATTTTGAAGTTTGAGGTTTAGGGTTTACGGCTTGGGGTTTAGAGCTTGGTCTTTAGGGTCTTCCGTGGCTTCTTTCGAGTTGGGAGGTTGGGGCTTTAGGCTCTGAGGGTTTCGGATGTAAGGCTTCCGAATTCTGAGGGCTTCCCCTTAGGGTTTAGGGTTTAGGGTTTTTAGGGCTTAGGGTTTAGGCGCAACCTTGCTGCGCTGATCTCGGTCTGGGAGCAGCCTTACTGGGGTTTAGGGTCATGACTTCTTGATGCCCGCCTTCTTGCCCAACTCCCGGTATAGAGCCAGGGCATCATTCCTTGAACGGCTGAACTCTTTGGTCTGGTGTGACGGTTCGCCGTTTCCAGAAACGACACGACGGTTTCGGGTTTTAGGGTTTAGGGTTTAGGGTTTAGGGTTTATGCGAGAGTAAAGAATACAGGAACCAATGGGGCTTGGACGCTTTGGTACCGTAGACCTACACGAAGACCATACGGGGACATTGCTACCGAGCAATGTAGTAGCCCCGATAATTGCCAGTACCGTCCCCTCGGGCTCCTTGTTATGACTATACCTTAAAATACCAGAAAAACCCTGTTCTGCATTAAAGGCCCCCCCTTATTGAGCCCGTACAGTAGCCCATATAGAACCTTGAAGGGAGCCCCAAGTTAAGACCGCTGGATTCCTGTACGGGCCTTAATTAATTAGAATAGGGTTTCGGGGCCTATTCTACTAAAATCAGAAGGAAGGAACCCCCAAAATAGAATGGGTAGTTACTAAAATTACTATAAGGCCCCGACATTACGGTGTCCGGGGGCCCCTGCAAAGACTGCGATGCGCTGCCGGCATCGCCTCGGGCGATCTGCACCTGGCAGGGGGTTCAACCCTTGAGGCCATTGCAGCTCTCGGGAGCGATTGCTTGATAGTAGGTTGTTTTTTTTTGGAGGGGGGGGTGGTTTAGGGTTTAGGGTTTAGGGTTGAGGGTTTAGGGTTGAGGGTTTGGGGTTTTGGGGTTTGGGGTTTAGGATCAATATATAACATGAAACACAGGTGTACATGTTAGGAAACCGACAACCTATAGAATCAATATATTATAATCTATGGTCTATAGTTTCTCGCATAATGTTCAGCATGGATAGCAGACAACCGATAACATGTACTATACGACATGCCATGTATAACCAGTGATCGGCCACATAGAACCCTAAACATACGGAATACAAGTCAATTCAAGAAGTATAGTTTGTAAGTTATGAGTTATAGTTATAGAATGATATAGATACAAATAAGTGAAGTGTACTGTTTTGAACTCAACAGTTCAATTTACAAGAATGGTGCACACCTGTTTCCATATCGGCTGTCCCTTCGGGCCTCTGACAGCATCTCTGCCACATCCACCTGCGCGGTGCAACAGAGCATCCGAATCATTCTCAGTCGTGCAATTCACTGAGTGATGTTGCGAACTTATTTAACTCTGCATGCTATCACCGTTGTCCTTGCTACCACTACCGTCCATGCAGAATCATGCTGACAGGACTGGGTTGTGCTCGCCATTGCTGCTAGCACGGCTTTTCTGATGCAGCGCTGATACTTTGATTTCTTCTGTCTTCCTGATACGGTCATAGTAGATGTCGTCGTGGCGGTGATGGGTGGCAGACGCTGTACCAGCAGCAGCAACAGTAGCAGGACTAGGAGAAGCAGTAGCCGTGGTAGCAGTAGTAGTAGTAGTAGTAGTAGTAGTAGTAATAGTAGTAGTAGTAGTAGTAGTAGTGGTCGTCGTCGTCGTCGTCACCGTCGCCTTAGTCGTAGCAGTAGTCGTAGTCGTAGCCGTAGCCGTAGCCGTAGCAGCAGCAGCAGCAGCAGTAGCAGTAGCAGTAGCAGTAGCGGTGGCAGTGGCAGTG